TTCCGGTACTCCGGCATATCTGATAATCCATCACTCCCTGGGTCCTAAAGGTGCCGGATTATCGGAAGTTTACTGTATATAGAACTGGAAACTAGATTTTAAAAGGTGAGCAAAGAGTAATTAACAGATATCATGGGTTTCCTTTACAAAAAATGTATTTTTCAAAAAATTAATGAGCCAAGGATTTTTTTCATATTTTTAAAAGTAAACTAGATTGCAGCCTGTCTGGAAAACATTTTGAATTCATTTTCTACTCTCATTTATACCTTTTACAGTGAAATCAGCATTTGTGAAAGATGAAGATTGCCAGGCCCGGAAAGTAAAACCCTCTACAAAATAGGCTTAGCATAAGCAGGAATAGAGCAAGTCTTTCACCATCATTCTGCCCATACCCTCCATCCTTAACTGCAGAGCCAGAAAAGGTGAGGGAGAGTTAACATTCACCCATTTAATACCTGGACTCTCTCTTGAGAGAACAGAAGAGATGCCTATTAGTTCCTATGTTTGTAGTGTTTTCCTGATGTAGACCCAGCCCGCTAGGAACGGGAATAACAACCCAAAGTGATTTCACACAAACCACTAAAGATTGGTGAGTGGTAACAGGTTTCAGCCTCTGACAAGATGACCCAGATTTGAAAAAGTGATGGAGAGCTAGTGGCTTTGTATTGTATTATCAGATATAAGAGTGTGTCTAGACTACATGGCTCTGTCGATGGAGCCATGTAGATGAGTTTACTAGACACAGCAAAATGAAGCGGCAATTTAAATAATCGCTGCTTCATTTACATCAAAATGGCCGGCGCGCTATGCCGAGCAGCTGTTTGTCGGCACAGCGCGGTAGTCTAGACGGGGATCAGCCGACCCCAGCACCCTTTGTTGTCAGATCCTGTAAGCCTCGTTTCAAACAGCTGCTCGGCACAGCGCTGCAGCCATTTTGATGTAAATGAAGCAGCGATTATTTAAATTGCCGCTTCATTTTGCTGTGTCTAGTAAACTCATCTACATGGCTCCGTCAAGGGAGCCATGTAGTCTAGACACCCCATGTGTCTAGGTATGACTCTGTTTACAGAGAGTTTGTCTCAATACAGCTGCTCCCCAAGTTGCGAACGGTCGAGTTACAACCGTTCGCACTTACGACCAAAGCTCCCATGGAGTGGTTGTAAAGGCGGTCCCCGAGTTACGGACGCGACCTGCGCTACTGAAGAGTGTGGTCGCGTGTAACTCAATGGGGTCTGAGTTACGAACAGTTCGAGTTACAGACCAAGTGTTGGTCCGTAACTTGTTCATAACTCGGAGAGCAGCTGTACTTACTTTACAGGGTTATTGAAAAGTGATTGAACAAAAATGGGTCCTCTTTATGCAATGGTTCATGTGTACTAGTCCAAGCCATAACTAACTTTATTCAGTAAAATATATTTTTATTGGTTTTTACTCCAGTTAATAATACAGAGACAACACTGTTTTTTGGAGAATGAGTGGGATTCTTTTGTGGCTCAAGCAAACTAATTGAATTGTTAGCTAAATTCCATTGCAGAATCATTATTACAAAAAACAAAAAGAAAACATCTTAGCTTTTAAGATTTCAGGTTAAGGTTGCAGGCCAGCAATTAGGGCAAAAAGATAGGCCAAATCAAGATCCCAGCACCCAGTACAAATCCATGGATCTGAGCTAGAGGATTTAAAATTCACATTCAAACCCAATTTTCCCCAGATGTCTAGAAAATGTCCAGGATTTAAAAGTTATTATTAATTAAAGTATTGACCAGTGAATCTTAAGATAATTTGATTGCTTCTGCAAAACTTGTCTGAACATCACTAGTTTGGATGAAATGCTGGAAATCTCATGACAGAAGACTTCACAAGATTGCTAGTATTACCAGATTTGGGCTGAGCCAAGAGGGCAGCTTTCCATAGTGTTTTGGTCTTTCAGTTTATATTCCAAGCTGAAAACAGGCGGAGAGGCAGAAGCGTGTAAAATATGTTAACTAAACTTCTTTGAATGTCAAAGAAAAAATCCTGAATTCAGTTCAAGCTGTATGAATGCACAACATGTTCAGTAATAACATCATTTTGTGTCCTGTCCCCCAAAATTTTCAGCACCCTCTAAAGAATATCTTTCTCCTAGCCTATTTTTCCTCCACATATTCAGTGAGAAGGATGCACAAGCTATCCTAGATTAGGTATGTAAGTGTTTAACCGTTTAACCGATAAGCACCAGCTTATCTGTTCTAGTTGTTCTAGATAAACTCTTCTGCCAGCTTGCACCAGCTGCCACCCTGAGTTGAGGGCTCTGCAGTATAAGACTCCCTTAGGAGCAGGGCCAGCAGCTGGGAGCTGGTGCAGTATAAGCCTTATACTGAAGAGCCTGCAGCACATGTAACTGCTAATATTTTTAAGTTACATGGTTACATTTTTTTAAAAAACAACTTTTTACTTCCCTAGTCTAGATTCCTCCCACAGACAGTTGTTCTCCCACTCCTGCTGCCTTTTACTCTGCCTCTGCCTTGTTCAGGCCTTCTCCTGTTGCAAGTCCTACTTCCCAGTTCCAATAACACTGGTCTTAATCCATCTATGGAATCAATTCCAGTTTCAGGTAGAGGCACTGGTTGTTTTTTTTATAGCAGTTCCCCATGTCTAATCTAGAGTCAATTGTTAAAAAGAGAGTTTCAGTGGTGTGTGTGAAAATGTGATCATTTGTAACTGGTATTTACACATGCCTTTGCATGCAGAAATTTCTGATCTGTAGTCAATACACGTGAAGGTAGGCATACACATTTCTGAGCATGGATCTTAATTCTCTATATTTAAAAATATGGCCCCTTAACGAATTCTGAATTAAAACTGGATGTAGTCCACAGCAAATGCCTAAATGATCCATTGGATGATTTAACTGATCGCTGCTATCAACTTTGATAAATGAGTTATCTAATTATAAGATACTTCAAAGACAATTATATCATATGTGGAGCATGTAAATAATCCTTAGTTGGCTTCAGTATAGTTTGTTTCACATAGTCTTTACATACATACACATGGAATCCAGAAATGGCATCTACAAAAATATTGCAAATGTCACTTAGATACTAACCTGTTTAATATATCTGCATTTTAAAAAAATCTAAAAGGTATATTAACAAGGAATTCTGAAAGGAATGGGCAGGCATTCACACTGGGAGAACCTTTTTTGTACATATACAAAGGGCCTGATCCTACATTCCATGGAATCAGATTTGTCAATGAATTTTCTAAGCAGGTTATTTGTCAGTAAGTTATCTAAGTTGTCACTATACATGTGAGCAGGAAAATAAAGCCAAAACGTTTCATAAGTAGATTTTAAAGTTAGTCTTTAAAGCATATTTAGGCACCTAAAGAAATGGCCTGATTTTCAAAAGTGCAGAGAGTTAAACAACTTCCACAGACTTCAAGGGGGACTGCTAGCTGCTTAGCAATTTTGAATATTATGCCTCTTATTTAGGCACTTAATTAAAGCTCTGTGGGTGGGATTTTAAAAGCATCTGAGTCAGGAGCACAATCCCAATGGAAGTCAGATTGCTCCTAAATCACAAAACACTTTTGCAAGTCTCACTTTGGGAGCATAACCTTAAATACCCTCACCGTGACAACAGAAATGTTGAATTGCTGCATAAAAGAGCAGCCAGTGACTATGTATTGGAGAGATCTGACAACAGCAAGTAAGGTTTATTAATTCCAATTGCTAGCTTTGATGGAAAGGAGAATAAATTGATACAAATATTTTTGATTATGCATATTAAAAGAAATGAAAAACAGGAAAAAAGATATGGACAGACAATCATGTTTTGTATATGAATAGTCTCATAACATGGAATCCAGTCATAATATTAGCTCCAAATTAATATTCTGAAAGGCTATCCACGCAGAATGTACATCAGCTGTTAGATTACTTCATTCCTTTACAACAGTTGTTCATCTGAAAATAGCTTTCAAATGAAAAGAGACAACTACAAAAGGATTAGTTACCATAGGCAGCATGATACACTCAGAGGATTATTTATGTCAGAATACCCAGAGACAGAGCTGTAAGAGAGTTAAACTGTAAGATTAAAAAGAAATGGTAGGATGGGGAAGAAGCACTTTTGACATACAGTAACTGGTTTTAGTTTTATACCATTTCTGTGGATTTCCTTCATAATGTCTGATGCTTGTTGTTTCCTCTCTTTGACCATGGCAGAATGTGATAACATTGTGATTGATCTGGTGGTGTTTTCCTCACTGAAAAAAAACACACATTTTTTACTTTGAGTCAGGGTGCAGAATCCAGTTGACTTTTATTTCTATCATTGTCTTCAGAATGATTGAGGGATATACTTATTTCTCATTTGGCTAATCTGCCTTATTAACATTGCCAAAGGTACTGGCAATCATTCCTTACAGACATCTCATCAGAGACATGTTCTCCTACTCAGGTAAAAGAAGTCCTGAGTGGCATACTGTCGGTTGGCTACACAAATTCTATAGCCAGATCTGTGGCAGTAGACTGGGCGTTCTCATTTCCATACACTATGTTTAAAAAAATACAAATCTGTGGTTTATTTCAAATGCTTTATTTTGTTAGCTCTTGATCTATAGTCTCAAAAATAAGTACATTCTGGCAAACTTCTTAAAGTGACAGCAAAAAGGTTGATGAGATTGCTAAAGCATCTTTAAATAAGAAAAGAAAGTAGATTCCCAGCACTGAAAATTTACATCTTATTTTATTCCTGAGGTAAGATGTTACCTACATGTCTTCTATGCAATAGTCTGCAGGACAAACAATGTCAAAATATTTCAAGAAACAATACACTTACCCTATTGTTAGGCCTTGTTGTGCAGAAAAAAGCAATCCCAACCCCTTTTGGTGAAGTTTCTGTAGTTTGTTATGAATGGGGATGATTTGCCTGTCCTGGATGGTTTCTATCCTTCTGGTTGGGTCTGCATGGTACCTAGCACGAAGACAAACTGGGGGCTGACCCTCTCTAAAGAGACTGGCATCCAGCTGACATCAACTAGCTATATATAGAAACAACACTTCAGCTAGTCATATCTTCCTGGCGAAAGAAGAGAACAGAAAAGATTCCGCTGTACCCACCACAAAGAGAGTTTATCTCTTCCAGAGCTTATTGGGAGATTTCATGGAATGCTCCCTTCATACTTGTTCAGATTGTCCCATCATCACCTTGAAGAATAATAATCTCCATGTCATAGCCAGGGGAAAGGCATTTAAAAATAAGGCGCTAAATACATGGATAAGAAAGACTATATTTGATGGGAATAGAACAGGCTTAATCCTTCAGTGAAAGATAAAACCGTGCCTTTATAGTAGCTGATGACTAAAGTTAGTGGCAGATGACTGATGTACAAAGCCTACTCTTAAAAAGAAATCCCAAATTTGCAGTGTTATTTTTATTAAGACACTACTTTTCCAGTAGACTACAGTTTGTCTGAAGAAACAGTACAATAATTTGTTTCAGAATGGTTTTGAAAACTGATTTCATAAAACTGCAATAATTTAGAATCCATTAATACCAAAATATTGTATAGCTTTATCCTAGAAATGTGTTATATGTAGTATGACAATGTATCCCAGGTCAGTACCTACCTTGTCCACCTGCTAAAGAAAATATTGGGGTTGTGCTCCTCCTGCCATTTCTGTGTACAAAATGTACCTGTAATGGTAGGGAGAAGAGATTAAGATGCTGTTTTTCTGGTTTTGTTTTTGTTGGGCTTTTATTCTAAAGACATTCTGTTTTCTGCTTGTTTTTTCATCAGAAATTGCGTGCTTCCTTGAAAGACTCAGTAGAGGGCTGGTAGCATTATGAAATTACAGCACAAAGGAAGTGAAATCTGGATAATTGAGTTTGGATGTGATTTTTAATCAGATTCTTTAAAGCTAATATATAATTGTTAATACAGTACCTTGTAAGCAAGAGCTCCCCTCCCCCCCACCTCACTGTATAAAATTCAAACATATTTAGAAACATAAACCTAAGCTTTCTCTTCAAGTTTGGTTTTTCCTAAGCTGACCCCTGTAAAACCTCTCTTGCAAACTGTAGTTCCCTCTGCCCATGAGTGAGGCTCATTTTTAATCCTTGTTAGAGTCAACAGAAACCTCCTACTAGTATACTTAACAGTAATTCAATTGCTTTTTTTATGAAGAATTCAAACATCTGATAAAAGGATGCCTTAACAAACACTCAAGGAAAAAAAATGTTTGCCAATGGTTCAGTGCCTATTACCCATTTAATAAAAGACCCAGAGAACTCCTTCTTTCTCTGAGATCTTCACCAAGTCCTCCAGCAAAATCTGGGAAGACCAGACTTGATATACTTGAGATTCCAAAGGTAAAAACAAACCACAAACTCAACAGCAACCTCTCCACAAAACAAAACAAACAAGCACATACACTTAAAAAAACTTTTTCAAACCATCATTATACACCATAAAAGAAGAAAAGGGGGAAAGCAGAGGAGCTTGGAAAGCAGGTGGAATGAGGGTGGAGGGACTGTGAAGGAGGTCCGATTGTATGGAGCATAGCTTGGATCAGTACCCCCCTCCTTTAACTCTGACTACAGCATTTCCTCTCCTCCCCACATTTCCTGACCTCACATAGTGCATATGGAGTAGGCAGTCAATGTTTTTCCAAGACAGCCAGCATTTAGACAGATATTTCTGTGGTAAAAATCCAAAGCTGTGCCTCAACAACAAGTAACTTTCAGATTTTGCCCTGTACATAGACACAGGGAACATGAAATTTTTCCCCTGACAATTTTTTTGCTTTCTTGATTCAAAAGTAGGAACAGTTTTAAAGAAGAAGATGCAAAACAACAACAAAAATAAACAAACAAATATTCAAAATTGTTTCTAACAATACTAAATTTATTTCGATCTGTATTTTGATCTAATGTGGATTAGGGATTGGGTCTGATTTATTTCTGTATTTATATTTTCAGTATGTAATACAAATCCTGAAGTCCTTGCTTAGTTTTTGTTCAACCCTTGTTCTACAGACGTCCCACTGATTTCAACTGGAGCTATGTGTTTTGTTAGTATTTATGTTCATCTTATGCTTTAATAATTAATTTAGGAGCCATTTATTGAGCCAATACTCATGATATTTCAGCACCTGATTAGTGGAAATGCCATGAGATGACTGGGTCTCACGTTCTTTCAGCGCTATAAACTGTCCCTTAGGCAAAAGTAAGTAACACAAATTGTATTTAAATTTACCTACAACAACTTTTGTCTTAAAACAGGTAGCTATGGATTTTGTACACAAATCCAAATTTTTATGTCCTCAGTTCAGGTAAACAGATGACTAGAATGTAGCTGTGTAATGCGACTTTTTTAAAAAAAGGCTTCAAAGGAAGTCTTGGCAGTTACAGGCCAGTAACCAAATGAATTTGTGGAAATTTTAGTAAAGAAAAGAATTATCAGACACACAGATAAACACAATTTGTTGTTGAAGAGTCAACAGAATTTTTGTATAGGGAAAATGCCTCACCAACCTATTAAAATTCTCCAGGAAACCAGCAAGCATTTGGATAAGGCCGACCCAGTTGATACAGTGTACTTGAATTTTCCGAAAGCCTTTGACAACATTTATTACGAAAGGCTCTCAACGAAACAAAGTATTCCTGAGATAAGATAAAAGGTCTCCTCATGAGTCAGTAAAAGGTTGAAAGATGGTCAAATCTCACAGAGAAGTGGGAGGAACAGCAGGTCTCCCAGAGTCTCTGTACTGGGAGCTATTACTCAATGATTTGGAAACGGTGGGGTGAATTGTGGCAAGTTTGTAGATGATACAAAATTATTCAAAGCAGTTGGGTCCAAAGCAGTCCCTGAGAAGTTCACAAAATGGGGATCTCACAATATTGGGTGACTGGGTAAAAAAATGACAGATGAATTCAACACTGATAAGTGCAAAGTAATTCCCATGGGAAAAGATAATCTCAGATCACGATCTATAGTGATGTGGTCTAAATTAGCTATTACTACCAAAGGAAGAGATCCTGGAGTTATTGCAGATAATCCTCTGCAAACTTCTCCTTAATGCACAGCTGCAGACAAAAAAGACTAATAGTATGTAGGAACTATATTAGGAAAGGGATAAAAATGAGACAGAAAATAACATTGTGCCACTATATAAATCCATGGTATACTCACACCTTGATTACTGTGTCCAATTCTGATTTTTCCATCTCAGAAAGGTTCAGAGCAAGTCAACAAAGTTGATCAAGAGTATAGAATGTCTCCCATACAAGGAGAGTCTTGGAGTATGACCGAGATATTAACAATCATGAGTGATGTGTAGAAAGTAAATAGAGAAGTTGTATTTACCTTTTCATACAATCCAAAAACCAAGGGTCTTCAGATGGCTGGAGTTATGGGCTGTACCCACGAAAGCTCATGATACTATCTACATGTTTTGTTAGTCTATAAAGTGCTACCAGACCATTTGTTGTATTTTTCTGAAAATCATAGACAGACGGACAAGACAAATGCAAACTTACTTGTTTTATTTTTGACTGTTCCTTTATTTTGTATTTTGTCTTTCAGTTTTGATTTAATGTTTTTAAAGTTGTCTTCAGTTTTACAGTCTAAAGCAGAGTTTCCCAACCTATTGGTCGGGTCCCAAATATGGGTTGCCATTACATTTCAAAAGGGTCACCAAGTGTCTCCCCAGGTGGCTGTGCTCCCTCTACTCCCTCTGTTTTTGAATTGCCTTGGGTCACCAAGTGTTCCTGAATTGCCAAAATGGGTCCCCATCTGGAAAAGGTTGGGACCCGCTGGTCTAAGTTAAGTAGTATGGTCCAAAAAATGAAAAATAAAAGATAAGATAAAAAGGAAAGTAAGAAGTGAGAAATCAGAAAGGCAGCATAAGCATAAGGGACATGTAGACTTCCCTCCAGAACAAAATGTTCACTCTTGTCTTCTTTTTCAGTTTTTCCTCCCACCTGTGCCAGCAATGAAACTGGTAAATTTTTAACCACAAATGGAAAACTCAAATCTGTGTTTGGCGCACAGATTCACTCCGCCACTGATAATTCACCCCTTCCCCCCCAGCACATAGGTATTGTTATGCCAAAGTCACATGACTTGTCCATAATAAGGAGTGAAACTAATGTAAATAGAGGCGGATACTTAGAAAGCGATACTTTTCCATATGTCAAGAAACAAATTGACAAAGCAAGCCTATTTTTTTTCCTGTTTGATTATGTAATTCAGTGTTTTATCCAGAGACTTTATCACATTTTCCTTCACAGCTCTTGTCAATGTTTATTTTCCCTCTAATATATTGGAGCATTTTCTTTGACAGATACCTCACCTGCTAGAAAATCTGAACACTTGTCTCACACAAATTTAGCGTGACCTACTTGAACAAAAGGTTTGGTTTTGACAGCAGTAATCTGGGGGTTTCTTCCTTCGTAAGAGGCAAAATCATACAGTATGTAGGCCTGTAATTCTGGTTTTAGTTATAAAAATAATTTTTTGTTTATAACATAAAGAGGGTATTTATAAAACCTAATGTGAAGTTAGAAATACATTTTAAGAAGGAGAAAGAGTTTATTTTTTTTCTTTCAGGTGAAACCTTCTCCAACACTGAATGCAACCCAAATACAACAGCACTGTGCTGGTTTATGAGGACGCCCTGCACTGAGGTGGTCATAGGACTGCTTAACCTTTGGGGGAGTCAGGATTATTCTTGCTTGTGGCATAGTAGCTTTATCTTAGCTGTCCCGATCTGGCAACTTAATTGTAAATAGTTATCCCACCTGTGAAAGGGCCTAGAAAAACTAGAGAAAGGACCCAGGAAAAAGGAGGCAAGAATGTCCCACTTAGGATTGCCAGGTATCTGGTATTCAACCAGACAGTCCATTTTCTGCGCCCTCTGTCCAGTAAAAAAAATTCAGAAAATACTGAACATATGCAATGTCCGGTATTTTCTGCTTTTCTGGCTGGGCGCCCGACGGAAGCCTGTCAAGGGTGGGGGGGAGGTGGCTGGGGAGGCAGGGCTGCGATCAGTTCTAGGAAGCATATAATCCACTTCTCGTCCACAGATTTTCAGGCATATAATCCACTTCTTGTCATGGCCAGAATATGGGCCAGGCTTGAATCCCCGTTTACTCCCCTCCACAGCTGAATAAAGGCTCTGAGAGGCTAGCTCAGCCTGGCAATAGGGTTGCCAGGTGGGAACCTGCGTGCTGGGAGGTTCATGTCATCAGAATATATGGTGTAAACTGTTGATTGTTTATAATAAAGTCCCCATTCAGTGTTAAGCATAGTTGTGATGGAGTTTTTTTTGTTTGTTTTTTGTTTTGTTTTTTTTGCTCGACAGATTTTTAGCACGTGTGTTTGGTATTTTGGGGGAAACCCTAGTTCCACTCACTAGGAAAGGCAGACTGAAGAAAGCTATGGGGATGGATTAATTCATGTGCTGGTTCTTAGAAAGGGTGTAAGGCACAGAGAGGCAGTTGTCAGGAATGGATGTTCCAGCAGAGAAAGAAGGAAAAGGAGCAAGATGGAGAAACCAGAGGCCTGAGAACCAGAGGAAGGACTGTGGGAAGCACAGGATTTAGGGAAGCAGCACAAGGGGTATAGCTGTAGCAAGTAGCCTAGGGAAACACCTGTGAGTCTGAAGGAGCAGATTTAGCTTTGTAAACCAGAGTCTTTGGGCTGGAATCCAGAACAGAGAGTGGTCCTGGATTCCCTGAGGGCAGGGCATATGAGCCCCATGTAAAAATTATTTAGCCTAGAGGCCTAAAAGATGAGCCAAGGAATAGCCCAGAGGGGCCAGAGGGATGAGTTCTATGTACAACCTGATCACTCTGGAATCAAAATGAAAGTCAGCCAGGGCAATAGGAACAAAAGCTCCTGCAATGACATGCCCAGATGCAAGAGAGTGCTCTGGTAGTGAGTGTAGTTGCTTACAACCCTTCTCAGAGCTATTGTATCAGGTTCTCTGCAGATGCTGGTAGACATCACTGCATCACTTACACTCATGTCATACTTGTAAGATTTCCTTCATACCCAGGTAGGTACCATGTTAAAAAAAATGAAAGCTGTGATTCTGATATAATCACATGACTTCAGGGATTGAGGCCCTAGGCAGAGATCTATGGTGCCTGTGACTTAATCTGACCGTTATTCTGCTGCTTGAATTTCATACATGTAATTGCTGTTTGAGATGACCAGTAGTTGAAAAGGGTGGCCAGAAAGTTTTTTTAAATTTGATTTGCTTTTGAACAGTTTGGTCAAAAATGTGACAATCCACTGAGCTGTTTATGACACTGGTACGTGTCATAGTGTCATAAACAGCTTGCCTGTGGCTGAAGGAGAAGCACCTAAAGAATGAAACCACAGGTCTTAAACTTTTCATAAAGGAGCAAAGTGTTCTGTGTGTATTCCTGGCTGTGCTACATCCACTTGGAAACTGATACATGTATTATCATACTGAACTCTCATTTATAGTCCCTTTACCCAGTGAACAGGTCAGCTAGATGTCTTCTCAAAAAACAAACAAACAAACAAAAAACCTTCAAGGAGTCAGATGCCTGACACTGTTTAATTTTTTGAAGTAAATGTGCTGCGGCCTTTTTTAAAACAATTTCATCCTCATGTTAGTGGTATGTTATTATCCCTTTCTCCAGTCAAGAAAAAGCAAGTTCAAAGAAAAGTTTCTGAAGTTCTTAAGAGTTCTGCCAAGGCCTTAAATGTCTTCTCTTTGATGAGAACAGCCAGATTACCAGTGTTGGCAAAACTGGGGAATTTGAGAGAGTTTTAGCCTGAAATATTGCCAGTGTAAGATGTCATGGTATTGCAAGAGACATACAGGCAGTCCCCGGGTTACGTACAAGATAGGGACTATAGGTTTGTTCTTAAGTTGAATTTGTATGTAAGTCGGAACTGGCTCCAGATTCAGCCGCTGCTGCTGAAACTGACCAGGGGCTGACTACAGGAAGCTGGAGGCAGAATTTGCTTGCCCCCAGCTTCCTGGAATCAGCCACTGATCAGTTTCAACAGCGGCTGAATCTCGAGCCTGGGACA